CCCCCCCCCCATCTTGCGATATCCTGCGTCTTTTGTCATAGTGGGGCAAGTACACTCGAAAAGATCGTTCGCGGATCGTGTATGACGCCGATCGAGCCGAATTTTAATAGTTGCCCGAAAGCATCTGTAGTCGCGACAGCCGTCGCATTATCTTCCAGCCTTGCTCCTCAGAGCCTTTTTTCAGTGAAGAAATTTGCGCATGCTAATTTAACAAATACGCTTTGTTTCACAATATCGAGGATATATTTTACGCTAACTTACGGAATGTGATCGTTAGAAATCTTACACATGACAATGACATTTGCATCACAAAAAATTTTAATGTTGCATATTCAAAACGGAATAGTACCATTCAGGACCGAATAGTGCCACGGTACTAGCAGCTGTTAAAACTTTTCTCATCTTATAACGATCACGAAGACTGTACGAATATCTGTATGAGAGAGTGTGCTTAAAAGAAAGGACGCGAGAAGCTATTCTACGGATTCCTTTCTATTCTTCGTTTCTTTCTATTCCTCGTTTCTTTCTAACTCCACTTTTAAGAACCGCTTTCATATTCAGAACCGTTTTATTCCAGAACAGTTGATATCCCGACTTCTGGAATAGCATATGCAATTTTTTTGAAAATCGATGTAGGACAGATCGATGAAACGATTCTCTGCGTAGGACAGCCAACAAACACATCAAAGATCAGTTCAACAGCACTGCGCAAAACACATCGCTTCCTCCCCTACCTCACATATGCGAGTGCAAAAGAATGCAGGTAATTAGTAAGATAAAAAACTCCAGTAGCGTGCACACTGCAATGAGAAAAGAGAGAAATGTTAAATATGATGCGCAAAATGAGAGATGCAGGGCAAGCCGTGCTTGCTGCTCTTTACTGGATGTAGGGTCAATATTCACGAATGTGGGGCCACGATTCCTGTGGGAACTTTGTTGCTGCTATTGGGTGTTCCTTTCACATCCTGAAGGATGTGCTGAGGCCTACCCGACCGTATATAATTGTGTCAGCTATTCGCCTCTCCGTTCCTTTCCCCCAGAATTTTGAAGGATAAATTTAGGATGCAATAAGGATGCAGTAAGGATATCAGCAATAAAGATGATAAAATGTAGCGGAAAAAGAAAAACACTTAAAGGGAAGATTTCCGTAAGGGCTAATAGCTGAAATTTGCTTTCACTTAGCACAATATATATGGAAAAGCATAGAAATAAAAATCATTTGAATCAGTATTCTTCATGTGGGCGCGACGCATTCGCAGCAGCAGTCAGTGCAGCAATGTTGTTTGCCGAGAAAATCAGCTCCCGATGCACCAGCATTTTCTTGTAAATGTGCGGATACTGCTTCTGATTTTTCAGCATATCCACTACCGCATTAGCCAGCGTTGGTACCAACTTCTCCACCTTCGTTTTCGAGAATCTGAAACAAAACATGCAATCGTTAATACTGAAAAGTGAAAAAAAAACACAATCATACATCGCTAATACCGTTTACCGCTCAAAGCTGAAACTGGATTTTGATTTCTTAAGAAATCTGTAACCAAAACGATGCTGCTCCAGGACATATTCCGAAGTAGGAGTGCAGAAACGTATAAAAATGTTTCTGCGCTGACTTGGATATAAAAAAAATGAAAGAAAAAAAAATACATACCGGTCTTACGAAATCAGAATCTAGTCTCAGCTACGAGGGAACTGAAAACAAGCAATGCAAAATTTTTTTCAAAAAAAGAAACATTTTTTAGAAAAGAAAAGAATTATTAAAAGAGAACAGTGAACTACGCGCAGAAGTGCTAGAAAGCCCATTTCTAAATAAATGTAGACAAACGCTTGCGGTGCCATTTTGGCCACGAGTGCATGGCCTGACACACAAGCTGAGCAACATCAGAACTGCTTAGTGCTCCGTTTAATGCCGGATTTGGGTAGACACACAACAATTCCGCAACACTTCATCAAAAATATTTGTCAGAAAAAAGCTTTCACTTGGCAGTGGTGTACAGCTGTTCCGGGAACTCGATTTTTTTCAACGCGGCAGCAAGATAAACAGAAGCAAACGCGATCATCGACGGCTTTACGTGACAGATGTTGTAGTCGTATGCTGCAATCTCACAGATTGCTTTCGCCAGCTGATGCACGCCGAGTTCAAAATGCTTAGTAAAACGTCTTACGAAATGGATGGCACGCGGTTCGCCTATCTCATAGTTCAGAGATAGCAGTACCTGTAAAAAAAACGTTCTGAAAAATGGAGAAAACTCAAGGCGAAATACATTCATTTGCCAGCCTTCAATATATTGAAGGAAATGTAATTTATAAAAATAGCGATGCGCGCCAGAGCCAGTGCGACCATGCGTTTTGTGCAGTTCCGCCCAGCAAACGTTTGTCTGCGTAGGATTTTCACTGTTTGGCATTTCGTCCGTCAATTAAAAATAATTGAAATGTCGTCTGATCTCTAAGTTACGAAACCCCCTATTAAAAATCTCACGCACCGGTAAGTGTAAGCTGAATTTGAAACCTCGAAGGGTGAGTATTCTTCCAAATTTTCAGCCTTCTAACTTTCCGGCTTTCGACTGCTCTTTGAGATAAAATTTTCACATGGTTCCCGTGAGACCTGCTTAAACAGGAAACATTCTCTTAAAAATTTTTTCAGCCTTCTAGCTCCACTGAGTCCCGAGATGACAATTTTCCCTCCCAAAATTCTCAAGGAGACGCACGTGATACCTGGACGCAGGAGAAAACTGAATTCAAACTTGCGAGGAAATTACCGCAAAATTTCAGCTTCCTAGCTTTTCCAATCCACGATATAATTTCCCTGCCTAAACTTTCACGAGGCCATACATGGTAATCAGGGGTGCGTGAAGGCTGAATCCAAACCTGCGGGGACGTATGTTGGTAGGGGACATCACCCTAAAATTTTAGATTCCCAACTTTCGTGGTTTCCGAAGTAACAGTTTCCCCCGCCGAAAACTTTACAGGGACGTAAATGATACCCAGGCAAGCGGGAAAACTGAGTTTAAATCCGCAAAATTGTATATAGGCAGGAAGCATTGCCTTAAAATTTCAGCTTCCTGGCCTTATATTTCGGAATAATTGTCCCGCCAAAATTCTCACGGGAGCGTACATGTTACCCGCGAGCACGGAATTTCCTGGGTCGCGTGTGGGCAGAGGGCATGCCGATAAAATTCCAGTGCCTAGCTTCCGTGGTTCCGAGATTATAATTTTCCCCGCCAAAATTTTTGCGGGGCCGCAGGTGTTACCCACGGGTACGTGGAAGTTGAATTTAAATTTGCGTGGCCACACGTGCGCGGGGAACATACCTCTAAATTTTAAAATTCCTAGCTTTTGTGGTTCTCAAGTTGTGCTGATCGCATATTGTTTATTTAAAAAACTCTAGGCTGAAATGCATCAGGTTTACCGGTGCGATAATGCGTTCTTGCACTAAACCTGAAGCAGTTCAGTCGTTAATTGTATGAATGGTTGCTGCTTTGCACATACCTTGTGCGCTCTTTGCGCGCTCATCGTAAGTTTTGCATTAAAAAAAATGAACAATTTCCGTTGAACGGTCGCTCTACGAAAATGACCTGGCTGTTCAGCGAGCAATTTTTCCGCCAAAACTTTCAACCGCGCATACGCAGAAACCACGCATAGCTGGAGACCAAATTTGAAACCTTTAAATTGTACACGGACAGGGAACATCCCCCCAAATTTCAGCTTTCCAACTTTTTTGGTTCCCGAGTTAGCAATTTTGCTGCCAGAACTTACATGCGCCTGTACGTGAGTACCATCCAGGCCCTGAATTTAAAATCTTTAAATCATATTTAAACGAGGAACACCCCTTAAAATTTCAGCCTTGAAGTTTCTCCGGCTCTCGAGTTAGCAATTTTTACGCCAAAGTTTTACGTGCTTGTGCGTGGGGCTCAGACGTACGTGAAGGTTGGTATCCCGGTCCTAGGGCGGCATTTGGCCGGGGAGCTCACTAGCAAAATTCAATCGCAAGAGCAGCTTGTTTGGTTGCCGAGTTGAAATACTCAGGCATACACACACACACACAAACACACACGCATGCCATGGGTCGTCACAATATACATTTTTGCATCCAAATACATGCAAAAACGCATAATTAAAGACAGCAATGCAAATAACGTTTTGCAAATACGACCATGCGTTTTTGCCTAAAGGTAGAACTGCTATAAGGCAATATCTTCGGACTCAGGCCTGCATCGTGAACCACCAAACTATCAAATTCGCGGTGTAATTCGCTACAGATTGGACAGTGTTTGAATCCATGCTCATCATTTAAGACGAAGTGTGGCTTGAAACCCAATTTCAGGTCTTTCTTTTTCAGCACTTGGAAAAAGGTCAGTGAAGATGTGAGGACACAGTTCAAAGCGTAATGGAATGAGGATGCAACTTCTTGACCATTTACATGCTAAAGCTGAGCTAATCCCTAATCGCTGAGGTCTGTTAAAAATAAAATACAAATTACTTTCGTTATCAAAATCTTGAAAAATTTCAGACAAATTCCGGTCATAATGAATAATTTCACCAATTTTCAGTGAAGCAGACTTAAAACAATTGGCCAGCGCATCGACTGCCGACGCGAAGCTTTTTTTTGCACAGTTCTCCGCAGGCTTTTGACGCTAGCGGCACTGTTTTTTTCCGGTAGATGTTTTTAGCTTGAAGGATTGAAACTGGCCACCACGGCTATCAGAAAATATTCCCTTAAAACTTCAGCTTTCTAGCTTCTCTGACTCCCGAGTTAGCAGCTTATCCGCCACGAGCCTTTACGTAGGAACTACGTGGGTAAGAGCGTCTATTTTGGGGATAGGGAAGCTTACACGCGTGTAGATTAATTCCCTTAAATTT